GTGAAGGACGGCTACCTGTGGCGCTGCCAGGTGGCCTGTCACGTGGGTTTGTGACGTAAGGGGTAAAAGAATCTTGAGGTCATGGGGCTTCCCCTGACCTGGATTCTATCTCTCCGTCACTGGCAGAATCGCTGATTAATGCCTACAGTTCAAAATAGTCATTTTGACTGACCGGAGTCTATGGTGGGTAATTGAATGTAGTGAATTTACAATATAACTCAATCTTTTCAATGGTAAATTTATTAGTTTAAAATCCAGCGAGTATGATCAAATATCAAAATAGTGACATTAAATAACAATGAAAATAGATGCTTTTACAGTAATACTCTACAGTCTACAACAATTAAACATCCCTTCCCAGGCACAGAGAGGAGTATCCCTTTCCATTCACGGAAGAGTATCCCCTCCCATTCACAAAGAGTACCCCTCCCATTCAGACAGTTCCACTTTGTATTCACTATTGTTTTCACCACCACCATAGAATTGACACAGATGTGTGCACAATCTGATTCTCATCAAACTACATCTGACAAAATGACCATACAATTCTATTTCACATGGTCAGCAACCAATCAGAAATCATGTTACAGAATGCCTTCTAGAAAGGCAAAGTTTTATTGGTTGACAAATATCCTTTGGGAGAACTACCTGAGCATAATTTTGATAGGTAGTTGGTCAGGTGTAGTTAGGCAACATACTCCAACAATCAGAGTCACTACAATAGATTTTAATCTATTGACTTGAAAGTGTAGCATTCAATTCGCTCAATGTACCTTGTGATTTAAACTTCTCCACGACGGACTGTTCTTTAGCAGTTGGTTTGCTCAGCAAATCAAAGATCTCTTCACCCATTTTTTTGTTCTGCAAATATTTAAGATAGATTCATTGTATTTTGAGAATGTAATTGATGTACATTGTAGTGCATTTAATTTGTGAACAGGCGTTTCTCCAGTGGCACCCTTTGTGGTTAACATTGACACTTGTTTCGAATGACATAGATTTTATCTGCCATTTTTGTTTTGAATCTTCAGTGTATTGTGGACTATTTTTGTGTGATAGTTGGAGCTGTTTGTGGATGTAGAGTGGAGTGTACGAGTGGAGTGTACTAGTGTTGTTGCCATAACGTGTCAGCAAATCAAATATCTATACAAAGGTTCTATACTCAGATATGCACATTTTTACAGTTTTACATATGCATTCGTTCAGCCGGTGAAATAACAGCAACTTAATAGCTCTTTGTTGTTAGAAATACATACATATGCACATGAAATAACTCTTGATTAGGCCTCTAAAAAACTAAGTTTCTGGTCAATTTGTTTTCTGAAACTGATGTTGGTACGTGTTCAGTGTCATAAAACTTGTGCTTTCATTTTTATGTGTCATGAAAACTGAATGAATGTCTGAAAAATCACCTGCGACACACTTTTTAACTGATGTGTGTGAGGAATAGAAACCTGAATATATTATCAGAAAATGTAACAGGTACTAACCGCTTGTTCTCTTATAGATGGCATTGCTAACAGACTCTCTATACTATCCACTGCATCATCTGTTGAGATCTGTCTATTCACTATTTTAACCGACTGTACGTCTCTAGATGGAGAGTTACTGAAAACAAGCAATAACACACAGATTGGCAGCACCAACAAAGGATGATTTGAATCTGTATACAAGTCCAGTACCACAAAACCAATATTCTACTTTGGCAGATTTGCTTGAAATGGTCATTTAAATATATTGCTGCGGGTTTCTTCTGTATTCTGTTTGGGGGTAGGGGTACGAAGGTAACAAGGGGAAGAGGGTGGTCATTCTTAGTTGACTCTATGCTGACTAAAATATTGTAAAAAAAAACACCAAATAATTTCAAGAATAAAATTTGACTAGAAACTTGTAGGTAAAGCTGTAGTGTCTGATTCTCAGTACCCGGTATCTATTATGCAGCATATTTATTTGTTATTTATGCTTATCAATACAGTATAGTTGCCAATCAGTGGTAGGGTTAGGCACAAGACGCAAGTTAACAATACAATACAATGTAGTTAAGGACACACACTCAATCAGTAGTACAAGGAGTACATACCATATTTTAAACCCAACTGGACTATGAAAAATTCACAAACACTAAATAATTTTTTTCTTTTGATATAGAAAAGACAGACATTTTACCAAAAAAAGTTTGAAGTGCTAACAAAACTGATAGACTACTGCACATTTCCACAGTAGGTCAGCCAATCATCCACAATTTTTATAAAACATTAGCACTGGACATTTAACAAAAAATTACCTTTCTCGCTTTCGTTTCTTGGAAATCGATTTACCTTTATCTTTTTCATTTATTTGATCAAACACAGCTGTTAACTGAAAAAGTTGACATGGATTTAATTATAACAGATTTCATTTATCAGCAAAATTAATTAAACAAAATTATAACAAAGTTAATGCATTCAGAGTACATGTACTTTGATGGGAAATCATTTATATTGTAACAACTATGGTTTATGAGTAATTTTCATCAATCAACAAAGATACATTACATTTATTTTGTTTCCCTAAAATAAAGTAACTTACAGTAACATTCAGTGATTATGAGAAGAGTCACTAAAGAGAGGAAAATTGTATGCTCTGTTCTGTACAAGTGTCTTATATCAAAGACCAAGGAAATCAGAGAGCATTTTACTCTGTGGTGTTTTGTAAACAAGCACTCATAACTAAAGAGTGTCTGCTCTGATATAAACACCACTACTGCTGTGGGATTTGAACCTGGCTCCTTT